ATATTTGTTTTAAATTACAAAGAAAGTACTGTTACTTTGGTGACACGCGTTTTGGGACCTCTAACACGATTGAATACAATAATTTAAAAAATGGGTAAATATTAATCGTTGGGAACTAGTGAAAGTATTAATTGCCCAGAAAACAAGTGTTATTTGTTCATAATATTGACATACCCAAATGGAAACCTCGATAATTATATAACTGCATATAGGAATTGCATAAAATACAAATGTAATCAGACGTGAAGCAACATCATCGAGATAATCCAATGGCGATGGTAGAGCCACGCCGCGTCAGTAAATAATGATCTTACAAATTGCTCGTTTTAATTGAAATTTTGGCAGTGATTGTAGTCATTATTAGCAATTTAATTTTAAAATTTCTTATTTGGAAGTTTAATGCTAATTAATTTTTTTATTAATTAATTTTCGGTGTACGTTCCTCGCACGCTATGATTAAGATAATTACAATTGAAAACATCAAACTATTATAAATAGCTTTTTGAATCGGCGGCGCCCACGCGCACTTTACGTTTGTAAACAAATATTAAATTGGCAACTTTTCCCACAGCTGTCCTCTTCTAACACTTTTATTCCCAGCCTTCATTTTCCATTTCTGGTTTATTCCTGGCGATTATTTGAGTTTTTAGTTTAATACTTATTGATGTGAATAAATATATTACCTACTGTTTTGCTTTTATTTTACTTCCCAATTTCTGCACTACTAATAAACATGGCAGCAATTTGAGGATAATGGTTGAAAGTGATAAAGGCAATGCGTTGAAGAATTTCAGGAATCTCATAATTCGCTGCTTTTTTAAATGTATAGGCGTCGGTCTCACTAAACTTTTACGTATTTTTGTGTTTATGAGTCACGTAATTACGTTGGGTCCAGTAAGTTTTATGTTTCATGCTTGTTGTGGGGAAAGTCGGCGCGATTCTTAGACCTTTACCTTTTAAGTGTGCGAGGCTTCATGTAAGTCGAGGTTCAATCCCTCAGACATAGTCAATCACTAAACTACGCCATGGTCGTCGTCTCATAAAGCAAACAGTGGTTAACTAAGTCACAGAAATTCTAAAAAACTTACGAGTTACAGATGAAAAATACCCAAAGAATACCTACTGTAAACATATTTTTTTCTATAATCAAAAAACTGATAGGAACTATGCAGTATATGATTTTTATTATACCTGAATCACAATCTCCGTTTTAAACACTCAAATGCGTGCGAAAAAAGGCCTTTAAAATAAATTCAACATCGTCGTTCACCGGGGACACTCGAAGTTCCGCACCGTCGTCCGAACTGATCGACACCTGTGTTGCTTATCTCGCACGTGGCATTGTTTACCATGAACACTGAAAAAATTACACACTCTGTCCAAAGAAAGAATGACTATCATGGGGATCTCGGAAACCATAGAAGATACGATGATGGCCAAATTAGGGAAATGTTACGCGATTAAACATTTCTTATCCGTTATCATGCTGTAAAGAAAACCACAAAATTCCAATTACTTCCATGCCAGAAAAACCGAAAGTTGCCGATTTGGTTTTTATTTTTTCCTGGTATATGAGCAGTTACAGAAAAATTTTAAAAGCACTTTCTCATTGCGACTATTTGAGCTCTACTAGATAGCGCTGAGAGATTTTTTAATACAACGTTTCGTTTCGGAGAAATCATCAACTTTCATATGGACCATAAAAAAGTACACACATAGCATTTTTGATTACGAAGACGATGTACAGAACACAAAAAACAAAAGTTGGACACTGTTGATTTCAACAGGCCCTAATGGCGCGAGAATACGTATCGACAAATTTTCGCAGGATTAGTTGTGCGCGGGTGCACCATCCTGCTGAAACAATAGAATTCGAATATGACTAAGATTCTAAAAGTCTCTGGGTTTAAGTCAATTTAATTTCATCTATATATATAAAACAAAGTCGTGTCTGTTAGAACGGTTGGACCAATTTTCATGATCTTTGATTTGTTGGATTTGTCTCCGACCCAACTAACAGAACAACTATTAAAATATAGAAAAAACACGAAAAATATCAAGAAAATTATTATAACAGTAAATAAGGCAACTAATGACAACCGTCAAAATGCTTACAATTTTAACAACAGGCGATTTCCATTAACTGTAAATTACGTAGTGTGCAATAATGACTAATAAACGGTTGCTGCTAAAAAATACGCAATACTTTAAAAGACTTAAAATGTGCGCATTGCAATTTTGCAACAAATCTTCACCATATTCTGAAACGACACTCTTACATTACATTTAAAATGTGCACAGTGTGATTTTGCAGTACATCACCACTATGTCCTGAAACGGACCTCTCTTAGCTCACACAACTGCAAAGAATTTGAAATGTGCACACTGTAATGGAATTACATGGAAATGTTAGGCAATGTCAATGTATCTATATATACGAGGTTCACTGTGATAGGCGATACAAAGTTCGTCGGGTCTGCCGTTATTTATATAAATAACAATGAATTAATAATGTTGCCTGTCTGTCCCTTATGTCTGTCTAAACCATCGTGATGAAACATTGAGGCCGGTTGGATGTATGCCCGCTTAAATTTCTGAGTTAGTTTCCGAAATTCCCACGGCAACGGGAACGAGAAAAAAAAACAAGAGTGTATGTATTGCAATCGAAAAGAGATTTGGAATTTAGAACGTAGTCCATACTTCGGAAGAACTTCCTCGGTTTCCCACGGCAGTACGAAGTTCGCCGGAACTGCTAGTTTAATAGAGAATTAAACCAGAATGAGTGTGTATATTGAAAATTTTAGCCTGATAAGTAGAAAAATGCAAAGGTACCAAACCTGGTGCGATCCCAGGGGAAAAACCTCGAAATTTTGTGTTTCAGTTGTTCGCTTATAACTCAAAAACGGTCTATTCCTCTGAAAATTTTATTTCGTAGTAAATTGTATAATGTACAGGGTTAAATTCTGAATCTAACACCATACATTTCGACTAGAAAATAATTAAAACGGACCATCGAAAACCAAGTTTGTCAGATGGTGAAATAAAGATTTTCAAACGTCCGCACATCTAAATAAAAATTGTAGAGAATTCATTTCTAAATTCAGGAAGTGCATCAATTTTGAAATTCGGCCAAAAAGAACAGTAGCAATGTAACATTTTCCCAAATTTGATGATCACCGCATAAAATCGCCTCTGGTGACCCGGTAACGTTCCGTTGAATGTACTCTTGGCGCTCTTAGTGTATTAGGGGTAGTTGCTACCATTGGCCTTGAGATCATATAAAATTGTTTGTATTAATTATCTAAGCATCTTTACGCGAATGGGACGGTGGTTGTATCCCCTTTAGGTAAAGTGACTTTCATAGAATTCCTCTTTATTAACAGGTTGTTTTTTAGGTTGTGCCATATGTGTTAATTTTTATCTTTTGTTTTACCTATATCGCAATCCGAAACCCATTTTTAATATGGAACGTAAGTTCGAATTAATTGTAATTAGTTCTAATTTTATATTGTAGTTTTTTATATATTTTTCTTTGTACTTGTATTAAAGAAATACTCTGTTCTGGATGAAATGTAGGCACCAGCTTTCGAATTGAACTTGTCGATTATCTGAAACTGCTGTATTTAAGATCGAAGAATCGCTAAGCAAATGTTATTCTCAACTACCGGAAATTGCAAACGTGCTGGTAACCTGTTGGTAATCGCTTTTGTCGTTAGTTTATCTTGCCCTCACGTAATGATAAAACTCACAAGAAGGGACATTTTTTTAACTTAGCGACTCGTATGGGCCAAAAAATAGTGGAGCGATTTAAAGATTCTCAGTTGGAGTGTTCTTGGCGCATGGTACCACAGCGCTTACTATAAACGGCTTGGAAAAGACGTGATGCCTGAAGTGGGCAATTGACAATATATGGAAGTAACTTGAAGACGAATGTCAATTTTCCCTAACCGAATTATTGAATCGCGTGGGAGAGAAGGATCGCTCAGATTTTAAGTGCTTTGATGATAATGGTCAACGAAATTGATAAAACCTCTTGATTTCCTTTTAAACTGAGAGCTAACAACGCGTGTGGCTGGTATAGAATCGAGCTGCAATTGACATCTTAAAAAGTGTTTACGAGTCAGTTGGTTTTCACGTCCGGTCAAACCATCTGCACGTAAAATGTAATAATATCTATTGGTTATTAAAAATTATAAAGTGCAACATCCGAAAGCACTTCCTTTCCATTCAATTTGCATTTTAAGAATATGGAAACAAGATGGGAGTGCGTTGCACACTGATGAATGATTCCCAATATTTGTAGGAATCTTTTAATTTTGCTCCAGAAAACCATTAGAGGTTTAAAAGTGCTTATAAATGTTGTGGGTGATATACACAGTTCGTTTCACATGAGTAAATTGATATTAATGATGGCGCTTTTTACATTCTCCAATACTTTTATATCCTTATTAAGTTTTATAATTATAATTTATAATGCGCCGTTTAGATCTACATATAATATTCGAGTTTTCTCGTCCACTGTCTTACTTAACCGCTTATTTAAATTTAAATTTAGTTTCAAATTTCAACTTTTACGCAGTCTAGTTAATAAATTAATTTCTAGTAGTCGATGGCTTACTTATATCGTTAAAAAATATCAGCTGAAAGAAGTAAATTAGTTTTTCGCCGATCGACAAGCGAAGAATTCGATCGGCTCGCGTGGAACGTCTTCGAGGTGCGATACGCGCCAATTAGCGATTTGAGCGAAGATGCTGCGAATTTTTAACGTAAAGATCCGGGTCACGACCTGATGGCAACCTCAATAATCCATAAGGTTCATCATTTGAAATACGTATATATCACTGACCTAATAACCGATACTAGATTCTAAGTCATCGAACTTTTCAAAATTGCAAAAATGTGCCGTAGAAACTCGTTTAATAATATTCTTTGTCACCCGCGGCACTTCTAATGCAGTTTTTGGTTATCATAAGCTAATTTGTTTATTTTTTCGTTTGCAGATGAACCAAACTTGTAAAGTTTGCGGCGAACCGGCGGCGGGCTTTCATTTCGGCGCGTTTACTTGCGAAGGCTGTAAGGTAAGCGATTTTTTTTCCCCGTTCCGTAATTGACAATAGCCACTTTTGGGATAATTCAAGGTTAGATACCGACACGATCGTACTAAATCTAAATGATCGAGAGCATCGTTAAACTTTCATTTTTGATCACGTAGAGTGACATAACTTCTTCAACGCGAAGTAGTCACCTGAATGTAAAGTTTGCTGTAACGAGCCTTTTAACGCCTACCTCACGCTTCACGCAAATATGTCAGTAACTCGGTTAATGTTTAAATTATAGTAGTACATCAACTTGTTTGCGGCTTTTATTTCTTAATATTCAATAATTTATAAAACATTACCGACGCGAACGCACCTATTGCAAAATTGTAAATCATTGTTAATTTGCGGTAGATGTAACTGTACTTACATCTTTGCAGATTATGAAAGTTGCACTAGAAAATATTATTTTAGTACGTTATAAATTATTCTGTAATTAGACAAGCTCAATTTGTTGCCAATTACATTCCCTTCGCGAGAAGACAACCGAGGCATTTGCACGTTTTCCACCAACCATTCAATACCAAACACTTTCGCTGTCAGACACTCTAATTTTGGAAACGCTGCATCGCTCTGAAACAGTTTACTGTTTCCGGTAAATAAAGTCAGGTAGTAAATTAAGAGTCAATATTACATTATGCAACAGCAGATGGTATTGTATTAACAAAAAAACAACTAAACATCAATACATTACCATATATATTATATCTATACATAATATAATAAAGTACGATAGTAGGCAATTCAAATCACCTTCCAGTACTTGAAAATGCTATTTATCACTTGAAAAATTACAGATTCTTTGAATATTTAAATATTTTTGTTTAAACATAACACAAAATTTATTGTTATAGACAAGTGCCAGTGACCAACTTTAGGTTGCCCTTTCAAAAGTCACACAGTAAAGCCTCTATACCTACTGAACATTAAAAGTCACTGTGCCAGCCTTCTATAGCTGAGGTAAACTACCCTAAAATTTCAAGGAGGGCAGGAAATAAGTTTTATTTTTGGTCAAAGTATCAATGATAAAATTTTAGAAAATTACTTTCGTTATAGTATTCTGTATTTTTGCCAAACCGTTTGCACCCTCTTAATTATTGACAGAACGCTATAGATATTTATTTAAAAAATACCATTTTTGTCATTTGCACAGTATTGAATTTTTAACAGAAAAAATAAAATATATTCAGGATATAAAATACCTAAAAAACCAGGTGCCAAATTCTTGACAGAACAGCAACGTCGGTCGCGTTCAGTACTGGGGACGGGTGACCGCTTGGGAACACCGTGTGCCGTTGTCTTTTTTTTAATTTTTGCAAATGTTTGTCTATTTGATTTTAGATTTTACTTTAATGTCACAAGGCAACATAATTAATAATCGTAATTCCTAATAAGAATAAATGTGGTTTTGAGAAAAAATTGTTTTCTCTATTTTTTTTTTAAATAAAACCTAGCATAAATTTTGTGGGCTGTACACAGAAAAAAGTATTTCGGAAAATTTAATAAAAAATTTGCGTTGCTTCAAAATTTTTTTCAAAAATCTGACCCGTTATTTTTCGTTTCCGTATGCCTGATATACATGTCCAGAATTTGGACAAAATCTCCACCCTACCTCTTATTGTTAATCTTTATATATCTCAATTAAATTGGATGTGGTTTTGTTATATGTAATTATTATATATATATAAACAAAGTGCTCCGGCTAGCTGTCAGTCAGTAAGCCTCGCAGGACTCAGGGAAAAGGGATAAATAACAGAGCAATACTCTTTATTAAATATGAAACGGTTGTTATTATATATCTCTGCAATAGAATAACATATTAGTAAATGGAATCTAAGGCGGAACGACCCTGGAAAACAAATAAGTAAACAACAATCATTCGCAAAAACATATTTCGCATTAATAGGAAATATTTGACTTTATTTATAAAATGAAGTAAACGCAATGTATAATGAGTTACCGTCAGTTGCTAAAACAAACTAATTGTATTTTTTAAAATGTATAATAAAAACAAATTGAACAGCACTATGTTAGAAAAATTTTCAGGCGCAAGTCTAAATTCTACTGTCTTGCGTTCAGGGACCGGTTATAAAATCCTCTGGGTGTTATGGACGAGCCGGCCAACGAAGCACGCCTGCAATTGGTCATCTATTATCTATTATTTTTAAACTATAATTTTGGTGTCAGCTTCCTAGGGTTCTCGGCAATATAATTGTAGGAAAGCTGTTGAGATAATTTTATCATAAGCTTATCGATGGCATTTTTGGAAGTTAAGATGAATACTTTTATTACTAATACATTGATAAATTGCAACTGCTTATAATTATCCAATGGCGGCGGGATTGAAACGGCTGCTGCCTTCAAATCGCTTTGGAAACTCCGGGGAAAATTTTGAAGATAACGAATCACTGGGGTTGTTCTAGTTTTATTGTGTACCAGGAACTTTCGTCACTTTGTTCATCTTTTTTCAAGCACCAAATTTAATCAATACAGTCAAAATAGCACGGGACAATCCTACTGATTTTTTTTTACAAGAGTGTGTTCGCTTCTTCTCAATTAACGACAAAAAATGTTTCTCCGCGAATATGATGCGTTTGTACTTAGACTTGCCTTGAATTTGTTTCGTGTAATTATACTGAACGGGATAATGGGTTTATTCCAAACCCCGGATTTCTTCGTTGACTATCTCTTCGTTATAATCATTTTAAAATTAGGTTTTTTATTCCCTATTCAAAGAAAATCTGACCTAGGGTTCTACGATGCGGATTTATCTTTACGAATGTAATTCAATATGGCCCATTCAAATGATGAAATCTGAGATAATTGTCATACTCCAAAGCGACATTTTTGCTTCTTGAAACGATTAACCCAACATGAGCATACGGAACGAAAATACGTCGAAATAATAAAACCAATATTTGTTTGGAAAATAACGTAGAATTATAATATACCTACAACCAGAAAAATATCCACTTTCCTTATTTTTACAAAAACTGAAAAATTCAAATCCAAATAAAGAGTTCCCGTTACAAGTATGGAGATAATAAATTTAGTATAAACAAAAAAATAAATTTTAAATATAAAATATTTACTCTACAAAATCAATGCACAGGTAAATACCCAACTGCTTTCCAAAAATATTTTGAATTTAAAACTGATGACAAAAATGATATTTTTTATAAATATTTATATCGTTCTGTCAACAATTAGGAAGGGGGGCGCAAATGGCAAATACAGAATACTATTGAAAGAAATTCTCTAAGATTTTTCTTTCACCAATATGAATTTCTTACCCTCCTTAAAATTTTAGGGTAGTCGTAGTTTACTCCGGTCACAGAGGGCTGCCAGAAGAGACTTAATTTTCAGTAGGTATTAAGGATTTACTGTGCGTATTTTTGAAATGACAACCTAAAATAGGTCACTGGCTCATCGTCTATTACGAATAAGGGTTTGGCAAGTGACTCTAACCACAATAATCTTCAATTGAACTTTCTGACCGAAGATTTCCTATAGCTAACCTCAAATTCTCCCGGTTTTTCTGCAACCATTATAGATATTGCAATAAACCACAATTTAAAAAGCCGATGTGCAACGTCATTTCTTCAGAATTATCACTGCTTGTTTTGCGGCTAAATTTTCACCTTTTGTCTGCAAACCTTATACCATTGAAACATTGTCAATTAAATTTCCTGAATTAAATCCTTCTTTAAAATGGTAGAAATGTCATTGAGAATCGTCAAAAGATCTAGTTCTTTTCAGGAAACAGAAATCAGAATAATTTATGAAATGTGTAACATTAAAAATTAATATTTCGCATTCATAATATACCTTCCAGCAAAAAATAGACCATAAACATTCTTTTAAAAAAATGACCTTATACCATATTGATTTTATAATTTTCAAAAGCTGCTCAATTATGAATTAATTCCATTTGAATTTAAATTGCGAGTTTGTAAATTTTAAAATTGAAATTTGTTAATTATAAAAGTTACTTCATTTTCCATTACTGGCCCAACTATTATACAAAGGTAGTATCTTTATTTGATTGGCGGGTAGAAACAGATTTTTTCAAATAAATTCCAAAATGTTTCGTTTGTCCCAAAAGTTTCGGTTCTTTAATTTCGGCGATAATCGCCATCATCAGGTGAACTATAAATTAATTAAACTTACAAAATTGATCACGATTACGATTAATTAATGTAAGTAATCAGCTCGTCATCGAGATCAATTTTGTAAGTTTAATTAATTTATAGTTCACCTGGTGATGGCGATTATCGCCGAAATTATAGTCGTGTTTTAATAGTACAACAATAAATTTATGGGGAAGGCTTTGAGATCTGATTCTTAATCTTTGACATAACACAGTAGATAATTTAACGGCTTTACCTACGTTTTTTGATTTTCTGAGATTTTTTTTAAATAACTCCTGAAATGCCGCTCGAAGAACCTCAGCTCGACGATATTTTGTATTTGGGATTCATGATGAAGATTCATGCTGAAAGATACACGAAAATAAAGCGAAATTAATTTTTAAAATTTTTGATATTAAAATTGTCTTTAGACTTTTTAAAATTTTTGAAACTTTAACAAAAATTCAACTGCAACGCTCAGAACGCCTGTATTAGAAAAATATCTTATTCTAATATTTCTGAAATTTCTAAAGTATTCCGCCAAGACGTAAATTTTATTAATTGGAGAAATTCAGCTGCCTCACCCACCTCCAAAATTCCAAAAAATGAGTTAACAAATTTTTAATTAACACTTCGTGTAATTCTGGGCACGAAATTTAACATGAACACTCTTATCTAGATCGTAATTTGGGTTAGATTAAAGCCAATCTAACCAATTCCAGATGAAGCAAATTTATTCAACATTAATTAATAAAATCAGCTAAAAAGAGAGAATGTGCCAGGACCAGATAGCCACAAACGATCGATTAAATAAATTATAGTATTGGCCCTTTAATGCGGGAAAAACTCACT